GGGTCGCAGGCCCGAGCGTCGCCGCCGGCAGGCCAAGCAGGCCCGGCCCCTGCCGAACGGAGTTGCCGGCGCAGTGAAGCGGAGCTGGCAACTCCGTTTGGCGGAAGGGCGGGCCTGCTTGTTATACATAAACACGTTGCAGGCTCTCATCCGAACAATGTGCGAGCAAAATTATTCTTGCCCTTATTTTCGCCTACTCTGCTTAATGGGTGAGTGCCGTCGTCTCGTCAATTAAGAACCCTGCTGATTTGATTCGCGATAGGTGTGGCGAGCAGCGGACAACGACGCTCCTTATCAGAGATAAACTCGACCGGTGCGCGCCTGGCCTGGGGCCGCCCCGCCGGGAGCAGTCTGCAGGCGTCGTTGGCGAGGGTAAAGTGAGGTCCTCCCGGACCTTGCCAGCTTGAGGCGCGATGGACGCCGGCCGTCAGTCTGGGTGAGTGTCCCAGGGGGAGGCCGCCGCCCTCCTGTGAGCCGACGGGGTGCGCGCCCGGAGCAGTGTTTAGTGAGGGACGCCGTCCTCCTCTGACCCGCAGGATGCCGGCGGAGCTGCAGGAGGTCATCCTGGCCCTGCGGCGGCTCGGACCCGGGCCTGGGGGGCTGACCAGAGAGACGGCCCCGGCGAGGCTGACCCGCGCGCTGCTGCTCGCGATGCGGCGGGGGAACGTGGAGCACCTGACGGACGTGCTGGTGGCTGCAGACGAGCGGCTCGGGGGCCGTGCGGCGGAGGACTGCCTGGGCGAGGCCTGGCGCACCTTCTGCGCACTCAACCTGCCGACGGGGAATACGGGCTTGGACTTAGCTGTTGTGGCCGACATGGTCATGCTACGCTACGGCGAGTCCCCCGGGGAAGCGACGCGCGACGACACGCCCCTGGCCACCAGCACGCAGGCGCGGTGGCACGAGCTGTGGGGCCGCGTGGACCTGCTGCTGGATTATTTGCGGCGCCTCGAGGACGAGCTGGAGCGGCTCCAGCGCCGCGACCGGGCGCCGGGCAGCGCCGACCTGGGCGTGATGCTGGCCAGGATGTGCGCCCTGGCCCTGCACGGCGTCAAGGGGTCCTTCGCGGCCACGTACACGGACGTGCCGTGGGAGGAGATGGAGTACCTCCTCGTCATGTTCATCGAGGCGCGCACCGTGAACGCGACCTGGGCCGACCGGGTGGCCACCGCCCGGAGCACGCCGGCCCACCTGCGGTGCTTCAGGGAGCGGCTGGAGAAGTACGTGCTGGTGCACCGCGCCGAGCCCGACCCGGAGGAGGCCATGAGGCGGCTGGAGAGGGCGCCGCGGGAGGAGAGGGCTGATCTCCTCGTCGCGGTCGTGGACAGCGCTCTCGACGAGCTGCTCCGGGACTTCGCCCGACTGAGGGACTGGCACTCACTGAAGGAGATCAGCGAGACTCTTCGTGTCGCCGGCGAGCAGGCGCTCGATCTGGAGGACGACGCCTGGGCAGCTTGGGGCTGGCTCGTCGTTCTGTGGGGGCTGTTCGTGGTGGGGGAGAGGGTGAAGTACTCGTGGCTCTCGCCGAACCTGTCGCCCCGCTGGGCTCGTCTCGTGGAGGCGATGGTGCCCGGCGGCGTCCTGGCGACAATGGCTGCCATCCGGGACTGCCAGGGGCTCGGGAAAGAGGGCTCGAACGCGGAGGCGCTGGCGTTGCCAGAGATGAAGGGACCAGAGAGGAAAAGGATGGCAGGGGAGTTGGAGAAACTGAGCAACGCCGCTCGCGCTGCTCTGTTGGAGGCAGAAAGTGAGGTGGATTGTGGTGAGAGCAGTGACTACTTTGAGATGATGCGTGCAGCAAAAGTACGCAGTGGACGTGCAAAGCACCTAATTTCCACAGAAGTAATAAGAATATTGAGAAAAAAAGAAAATGCAGCCGAAGACCACTTTAATGAAATCCTTAGCTGTTCCAATCTTCTTCAAAACATAGACGATCGCGATCCGTCTCATTTAAAACTGCTGTTTGGACGTTTTGTAAGTCTGACGTGGCATTTTGCTCTTCATCATCTAACAGTGGATATTCCACGGGTCTGCAGCCTACTCTTTCACAGAACATCAAAACACACAGAAAGCTTTCAGGCTCAACTTTGCGAAATCGTCCCTCAACCAGGAAGCAGCTCGCCGGACACTATTGTGAAGGCGCTAAAGGTCATGCGAACCATCCCAGTAAAGGGGCCGCTCACTCCGTATGCCTGCGCTCTGCATGGAGCTGTGAGAGAGCTCGCATCTCGCTGGCACGAGCATGACCCGGTGGTGCCCACGACGCATGTCCCCTTCTCCCCCACCCTGTTCGGACGTGAGTTGCGGGACTACCTCAACCATCTGGACGAGGTCTTCGGCTCGGTCTTCCGCCCCAGTTTCGAGTTGCTTGGCGTAAATAACTTGATGCTAAACGGACCTCCGCTGCTCAACGGCGCCAGGCCGCGGCTGCGAGACCTGCGATGGTCCCGGGCCGAGAACGAGCGGCTGCTGCGCCTCTTGGAGCTGAAGAGCGACATGTTCCGCTGCGCGAGAGAGGGTGATTTGGTCTGGCTGCAGCGCCTGGTCGTGGACGGCGCCGACGTCGGTGTCCGCGACTGCCAGGGCCGCACCCTGCTGCACGCCGCAGCTCACGGCGGCCAGGTCCACGTCGTGGAGTGGCTGCTGGGGCTGGGCGCCGAGGCCGTGGACCCGCTCGCCGAGGACTGGCACGCGTACACCGCCCTGCACGTAGCTGGGACAGCGCCCGTGGCGGAGGCGCTGCTCGCCGCACGTCCAGGTTTGCGCCGACAAGACCATCTACAGTAGTTCGCTTGACTAGGCGGCACTTGACGCGATTCTGTTGTTTCAGTGCGCCAGGCTGCAGTGCAGGACGGAGCCCCGACGCCGCTCCACGCCGCCGCGCTGGAGGGCCGTGCCGAGGTGGTGGCCGTGCTCCTACGGGAGCCTCGCCCCGGCGACCTCGCCGCCGTGTTCATGGGGATGTCACCCCTGCACTGTGCTGCCCTGGGCGGCCACGACAGGGTGGTGCGTCTGCTCCTGCAGGCCGGCGCGCGCTACCCGGCCCACCACCCTGATAAAGTCACGCCCCTTGACGTGGCTGCGCGCTCCCCCGGCGGCGGCCCCGCGGTGCGGGTGCTGCTCCAGGGCACCCGCCCCCCGCCTACGGACGAGGACTGCTTGGAGGCCGCTTCCCAGGCTGCTCGGCGCGGCCACGAGCAGCCCTTCGCCCTGCTGGCGGACGAGCTCTCGGCTCGCGGGCGGCTCTCGCCCGGCCGACATATGACCTTCGTCCTGTACTGCGCGGGCATTGGAGGGAGCAGCGCCATCGCGCTGCGGCTGCTGGACCTGTTCTCAGGCGACGGACTGGGCCTGGCCGGGCGCACAGTCCTGCTCGGCGCTGTCTTCAAGGGCCATCGTGAGCTCGTGGGAGCTCTCGTCGACCGCGGCGTGGACCCGCTGAGCGACGACAACCCGCAGGGTTTGACTGCACTCGAGGGTGCTGTGCTGGGTGACTCTCCGGACACCATCGACGCCCTGGTGGAGCGCATCCCGGGCGTCTGCCGGCAGACGGCCCTCAGCAGGGCGCTGCACCGGGCCACGATCTACGGCCGTCTCCCGACCGTGCAGCGGCTCGTGCACCACGGCGCGGCCATTGACGTGGCGGACAGAGACGGCACGACAGCCCTGGCCAGAGCCGCTTCGGTGGGTCACATCGAGGTGGTGGAGTGGCTGCTCCAGCAGGGGGCCGACCCGCGCCTCGGCGAGGACCCTCCCCTGCTCTTGGCCGCGCAGTGCGGACACCTGGATGTGGTCGAGCTACTCGTGCCGCCGCTACCAGAGGGCCGGGCCGCGCACCAGGACGAGGGCCAGGCCGGCCCCTCCGTCAGGCTCCCGAGGCTCAAACACGGGCCAGAGAGGAGCACCACGGAGCAGGAGGAAGCTGAGCGCCTCCGCCTGCTGCAGCAGGCCGGCAGTGGTGGCTTCACGGCCCTGCACAGTGCGGTGGCCGTGAGCGCGCTCCCCATCGTGGAGTACCTGCTGGACCGGGAGGAGGAGCTCCTGCGCCGGGTCCACTCCAAGCACGCGGACGCGGAGCTGCCGAGGCTGGAAGGCATAACCGTGTACGCGCGGGACGAGTGCGGCGTATCGGGCTTGATGCTCGGCTGTGTGATGCTCTGCGCGCCGAGCGTGGCGGAGGCGCTGCTCCTGCGGATGGGGGACGCGCTGTGGATGGCCCTGGGCCGCAAGGACCTGCAGCAGGTGCGCGGGATGGCGGCGGAGGCCCTGGGGCTCGCGGCTGTGCAGCCCGGCGGCAGCGGCCTGGTCCACGCGCTCTGCGGGTGGATCAGCCGCAGCGGTGAGGGCCTGCTGGGCGGCGGCGGGCTGCAGGACATCCGGCGCAGGGCCGTGGCGGCGCTGGGCTCCGCGGGGGACGCGGGAGGCGGTGAAGTGATACAGCCGTGGAATCGCGTGCTCTGCGTGCCCAAGTGCGTGGGGCTGGGTGTGGACGTGCCGCAGACCATGCGCCGAACTGCCCAGGTGGCGATGTCCGCCTGCCTGGGGCAGGGCGCGCGCGGAGAGATGGCGGTGCAGCTGCTGTGCCAGTGGCTGTGCGACCTGAGCGGGGACCCCGTGCCCGAGAGCGTCATCCAGAGCATGGGGCGCGAGGCGCTCGGCATCGCGCGGGAGAGGGGTGACCCTAAGAGTATCGAGTTCCTGAGCATGTTTGAAAGTGCTGGCACCGGGTCGGCGCTGGCCTCGGTGTCCAGGGCGTTCGCCCGCCTGTTCTGTTGCTCGTCGTCCACCACCGCAGCCACAGATGCCCGAGGCTGATGCTCCTGGAAGGTTATCCCTGCCAGGCCACGTCGTCCCGACCGCGGCTCTTCGTGTCCTGGGCCCCATCTGCCGACCGATCATTCCGGTCGCAGAATAAAAGAGGCACTAATCGTAATCGAGGCATTTTGTAGTTCCGTGTTTTGGTGCAATTCCGATGTTAATACTGTTCAGATTTTAACATTGCTGGTGGAAATCAATAAACAAAAAATGATTACTATGGAACGCCCTGTGGATACCAGTTTTTTTTTGGCGATTGCTGTTTAACCCCGCGCACTTTAGTAGTTACACTGTACCACATGCAGGCGCAGGGGTGCGGGTTAGTTTACATATCGTCGCTGACCACGGCGCCTTACGGCCCCAAATAAGCAACTCGGCAACCAGCCGGCGTGCTTGGACTTCTGCATGCGGTACAGGATATACTACACCGACTGTACCAAACCCCGCGTTCCTTATGCGGCACCCGTTTACATGGCAATAATAACGCACAGTGCACCGCCAAAATTACATTTTTGAAAATTCATCGAAGAGTATTTGAATGTTCTCAAGTTCAGCCACTTGGCCCTTTTGGAAACAAACATTAAGTTGGAAACAAGGAAATGCCTGCTTTTCCTTTTCAAACGAAATCGTGCGGGCCATACTTCCGGTCAGAAAATCGCTCGGAAATCGGTATACATACATGATGGCCACGTACCCCGGACAATTTCATTGTTTTATACTGTACGGCATGCAGCAGTGCGTGCGGGCGTGCCTATACCGCGTCTCTGGCCACGGCGCCTTTTGGCCCCTTGCGAGCAGGAAATGCGGTACAGTATGTGGACCACCCTATACTTAAACAACGTTTAGTGGGTGAGATGAGAGATGCGCGAGCGAAAAGCAGCCGAGGCCCTCTCGACGAATAAAACTCTGTAAACGTTGGGTGATTCGCGAAAGGTGTCGTGGCGAGCAATAAGCTGCGTCTTATCGGAGATAGAATCGGAGATAGGCGGCCCCGTGCGCCTTGGCCAACCGGCCCACACCTCCACTACAGCAGTCTGCAGCCGTCAGTGCTGCGCGTTGAAGTTGGCGTCCTCCTGCGTCGCCCCTCGAGCCTTCGTCAGTGTCCCCTCGGGCCCGGGAGTCGCGGAGATACGCCGGCCAGAGCGCGCGGCTGCGGCAGGGTGAGTCGAGCAGGGCGGCGGCGCCGCCGGGCCGTCAGAGGTCGGGCACTCCCAGAGCAGCACGTGGTCAAGGCTTTGTCTGTCGGCAGGAGCTGCTGGGCCCCCGCGATCTCTGGAGAATGGAAGGGCCGGCGGAGGGGACTCGTCAGAGGGAGGTGACGTGCATAGGGGCGGACGGCAACTGCATCTTCATCGCCGTCAGCCCCCAGCCCCACGGGGTGAGCAGCGTTACGGTTGTGGGGGGCAGTGTGCGGAAGCTACGCCGCGGACGCAAGGCGCCAGTGGGGCTGCCCGGCGCGCTGCTGCTCGCGATGCGGCGGGGGGACGAGAAGCGTCTTGCGGAGCTGTTTGACGCAGAGGGCCCCGCGGTGGGCGCGCCTGCGCTGGAGGACGCGCTGGACGAGGCCTGGCGCACGGCCTGCGCGCTCAACCTGCCGCTCAGCAAGGACATGAAGCGGCGTGTTGTGGGCATCCTCACGCTGCTCCGCTACCGCCTGTCCCGGGCGGACGCGGCCACTGACGTGCCGCCGGCCGCCGCCGACGCCCTGGTCCGGTGGCGCGAGCTGTGGCGCCGGGTGGACCTGCTGCTAAAGTTCTCAGAGCGCCTAGAGCTCGAGCTGGAGCCGCTCCGGAGCTGCGAACTGGCCAAGCTGTGCGTCCAGAACCTGCACCGCGTCAAGTCGGCATTCAAGAGCACGTACAAGGACGTGCCGTGGGAGGACATGGAGTACCTCCTCGTGGTGTTCATCGAGACGCGCGCTGCTCGGAGCATCGCGACCGACGTGCGCCTGTTCAGGAAGAGGGTGCTGGAGCACGTGATGAAGCACCGCCATGATTCTGACCCTGAGGCGGCCATGCGAAGGCTTCAGCTGAATCCGAAGGGAAAGGAGAGGGCCACCCTCCCCAGCGTCAACGCCCTCCCAGTCCCGCGGCAGCACAGCGCCGTGTTGAGGGACTGGCACTGCAGGGACCACAGGGACCCGCCGCCGGCCGCCGACGCCCACGTGCGGTGGCACAAGCTGTGGGGCCGGGTGGACCTGCTGCTGGAGTACTCGCGGCGCCTCCAGGACGAGCTGCAGCGGCTCCAGGGCCACGACCGGGCGCCGGGCAGCGCGGACAAGAGCGTGTTGCTGGCCAGGATGTGCGCCCTGGTCATGCACAACGTCAAGGGGTCCTTCTTGTCCACCTACAAGGACGTGCCGTGGGAGGAGATGGAGTACCTCCTAGTCATGTTCATCGAGCCGCGCACAGTGTTCGTGACCCTGGCCCACCTGGTGGCCACCGCGAGCACCGCGGCCCACCTGCAGTGCTTCAGGGAGCAGGTGGGTAAGTACGTGCTGGTGCACCGCGCTGAGCCCGACCCGGAGGCGGCCATGAGGAGGCTGAAGAAGGAGCCGCGGAAGGAGAGGGCTGCCCTCCTCGGCGGGGTGGAGGACAGCGCCCTCACAGACCTCAGAAAGGACTTTGGCCTGCTGAGGGACAAGCACTCCCTAAAGGACATCAACGAGACCCTGAGCGTCACCTGCGAGGCGCTCCGTCTGGAGGACACCGACTGGGCAGCTTGGGGCTGGCTCTCCGTGCGGTGGGGGCTGTTTGTGGTGGGGGAAAGAGTGAAGTACTCGTGGTCGTCACCGAACCTGTCCCCCCGCTGGACTGGCCTTGTGGGAGCTATGGCGCCCGGCGGCATCCTGAAGGTAACGTCTGCCATCCGGGACGACCAGGAGCACGGGGAGGACGGCTCCAACGCCAAGACACTGGCCTTGTCGGAGTTAAAGAACCTAGAGAGAAAGGAGCTGGCAGAAGAGTTGGAAAAACTGAGGAATGCAGTATGTGTGGCTCTTGCGGAGATTGGCAACGAGTCAGACAAGAGTGACTTGGTTGAGCATGAACTAAGACTTATCAAGAATACAAACTTGATTGTGGATGAAGTGATGAAGATATTCCAACGAAAAAGATATGCATCGAAAGATAAATTTAAAGAAATTGAGCGTTGTGCTCAATTAGTGCAGAACACGCGAAATAGGTTACTATATGGGCGTTTTGTGTCTTTGTCCTGGGACTTTGTTCTTTCTCATTTCCCAGAGGCTTTTGCTCGTGTTAGTCGCCTTCTTTTTGACAAGAGCATGGCGAACACCGAAAGCTTTCAAGCTGAACTTCGAGAGGTTAGTCTGCGGACAGTGGTCTGCCCGCTGGAGACTGTTTGGAAGGCGCTCATGGCAATCGACTCTCGAGTTGGGCAGCTCACTGACTTCGCTATCAACGGAGCTCTGCGGGAGCTCGCGTCCCGCTGGCACGAGCGCGACCAGGTGGTGCCCACAGACGTTCCCTTCTCCCCCGCCCTGTTCGGCCGCCAGCTGCGGAACTACCTCAACCACCTCAACAAGGTCTTCTGGTCCCCTCTCGGGCTGATTGTCCTTCACAAGCTGGTTATAGACAGAGACATAGAGCTGGAGCACGGCGCCAGGCCGCGGCTGCGAGACCTGCGGTGGTCCCGGGCCGAGAACGAGCGGCTGCTGCGCCTCGTGGAGCTGAAGAGAGACATGTTCCGCTGCGCGAGAGAGGGCCACTTGTTCTGGCTGCAGCGCCTGGTGGAGGACGGCGCCGACGTGAGCGCCAGGGACTGCCAGGACCGCACCCTGCTGCACGCTGCAGCCCAGGGCGGCCAGGGCCACGTGGTGCGGTGGCTGCTGGGGCTGGGCGCCGAGGCCGTGGACCCGCTCGCCGTGGACTGCAAGGGATTCACAGCCCTGCATGTGGCTGGGACCGCGGCCGTGGTGGAGGAGCTGCTCGCCACAGGGTCAGGTGTGTGGCCACCGGTGTCCACTAACAAAGTCAACGTATTTGTTGATCGTGCCGCCTGTATTTCCGCAGATGAGCGGGTTTGTTGAGGGCTGACAACAGATGATTCAGTTTGTTCTTGTTTTATTACAGTGCTCCACAAAGGGACCTGTACGCCTCTCCATCTCGCTGCAGTGTGTGGCCGCGCCGAGGTGGTGGCCGTGCTGCTCAGAGACCCCCGCGACCTGAATGCGGAGCACAACACGGTGACGCCCCTGCACTGCGCTGCCCGTCACGGCCACGACCAGGTGGTGCGTCTGCTCCTTGCGGCCGGCGCGCGCTGCCAGGCCGACGCTAACGGTCACACACCCACACCTCTTGTCCTTGCTGCGCGCTCCGGCAGCGCCCCCACGGTGCTGCTGCTGCTCGGCGCCGCCCTCCCTGAGGACTACTGGAGGGCCGCTGAGTATGCCGCTGCGCATGCCCGCGAGGAGGCCTGCTCCGCGCTGCTGGACGAGCTCGAGGCGCGCGGGCGGCTCCAGTGGGGCCCGGAGGCGAGGAAGGTCCTGTTAGGGGCGGGCCTTGGAGGGAGCAGCGCCGTCGCGCTGAGGCTGCTGGACCTCTCTACTGCCGCCCTGAGCGAGCGCCTGGACGACACCGGGGTAACAGTCCTACACGTCGCTGCCTTTAAGGGTCGCGCTGAGCTCGTGCGCGCGCTCCTCAGCCGCGGGGCGGACCCGCTGGGCAAGGATGCTGGGGGCGCCTCCGCACTGGACGGGGCAGCAGCGGGTGGCTCCACGGACACCATCGACGCGCTGGTGGAGCACATCCCGGGCGGCTCACTGCAGGCGGCCCTCGATAAGGCGCTGTGTGTGGCCGCACTGCGCGGTCAGCTCGGGGCGGCGCAGCGGCTCGTCCACCACGGCGCGGACGTTAACGCGGTGGACGGGGAGGGTGACACGCCCTTGCGCTGTGCTGCTACAGGGGGCCACACCGAGGTGGTGCGGTGGCTGCTGCTGCGGGGGGCCGACCCGCGCCTGGGCGAGGTCCCTCCTCTGCACCACGCTGCAGCCGACGGGCGGCTGGACGTGGTCAAGCTACTCGTGCCGCCGCTGCACGCGGGGGACCAGGGCCAGGACGACCCTGGCGGCGAGGGGCCCTCAGCCCTGAGCGTGGCCGTGCAGGCAGGCTCGCGGGAGGACCTGGAGCGGATCCTGGGACGGTTCGTGGAGCACCTCAGGCCCCTCTCCAGCAGGTACACGAAGGAGGACAGGCTCCGGGACAAAGCCGAGTCGACGGCGGCGCTGAGGAGGAAGGAGAAGGAGGAGGGCGAGCGCCTGCGCCTGCTGCAGCAGGTCGAGAGAAATGGTGGCGCCACGGCCCTTCACATGGCGGCAGCAATAAGCAGCGCGCTCCCCGTCGTGGAGTACCTGCTGGAGCGGGAGGGGGAGCTCCTGCGGCGGGTCTACTCCAAGCACAAGAACACCGGCGTGCCGCGGCTGGACGGCCTCACCGTGTACGCGCGGGACTCTGACGGGGACACCGCCCTGCAGTGCGGCGCTCTGTGGCTCTGCGCGCCGAGCGTGGCCGAGGCGCTGCTGAAGCGGATGGGGGACGAGGTGTGGCTGGCCCGGGGCCACAAGGACCTGCGGGAGGTGCGCGGCATGGCCGTTGAGGCCCTCTGGCTCGCCGCACCTCAGCCCGGCAGCGGCCGTCTGGTCCGCGCGCTCTGCGGGTGGCTCAGCCTCAGCCACGGGGACGGGCTGCAGGACGTCCGGTGCGGTGCCGTGACGGCGCTGTGCTCCGTGCTGGACGAGGTGTGGGACCGCGTGGTCGCCCTGGTGGCGGGGCGCCTGGCCCGACGGCGGGAGCCCTGGTGGCGCCGCGCGCTGCGGGTGTTGCTGCGCCGGGCGCGCCCGCTGGACTCGCTGACCGCGCTGGCCCTGCGGGTGCGTGCTGTGCTGACGGAGTTGGACTGCCTGGGGGTGCCCCCGCCCCCGCGCGGCCATGAGGCGCTGCTGTGCCGGTGGGTGGTCGCCCTGAGCGGCGAGGACGACGCGACCCCCGAGAGCGTGCTCCAGAGCATCAGGGGCGAGGCCCTGGAGTTGGCCCAGAGGGGGGGTGACCAGTCGAGTGTGGAGCTTCTGCGCTTGTGTCAAAGTACTGGCAGTGAATCTGTGTTCCCTCATTCTCTGGTCGTCGTGTCCAGGAGTTCCTTTCTTGCCGTTGCTCGTCCACTCCTGCTGGAAGCCATGCACATTTTACGTCACACGATTTTTGACACCTTTTAACCCCCACTTCCTTGCCCTCCCCTTGTGGTGTCACATTCTCGAACTTATTGCTTGCTTCCACAGGTTCCACAGCGCTGGGAAAACAGTAAAAATTTCGAGAAAATTCGCTGACTTAATGGTTTCTTTTAAACCACACATGTATCACAACGACAACGGGTGGATAATTTCAAGATTCGCCCTTGAAATCCCAGACTTTGTAACCCTTGTAGAAGTTGAAGAAGTAAATAAATACAAATTATGAGAGTGAAACATCCTGCAAGTGTTGTCTGATATCATTCACCCTCGGCGTGCGGGTGCCGGCGCGTCCTTGGCGAGGCCGGCGGCGAGCCTCGTGGCGGCGACATTAATGCGGAAGCATGGCGGGGCGGGGCGGGCTGGAGGTGGTAACGAGCTAATCTAGGAACACCTCGCTCGCAGCGCGGACCCTCCGCCTCGGGCCGCACAGCCGCGCCGGCCGGGGACAACTATCTGGCGGGCTGTGCACACGGACGCTGAGTCAGCTAA